GCTACTGCCTTTATTGTAAATTCAATTATGATTACATAACTTATACAAGGTTACCCCTATACTACACTAGCAGATAGCAGCAAAAGCTCCCATACACCTAATTAGATGCTGTCTAACCTAACCTTGACCTCTCTGTCTGTAAGTCTGTTAAGCCATTATACATTTCAAGGACGTCACCTGACTATAGGGCTCCAGGAGGCCCCTTTGCTAACTAACTACCTATATTTAATCTTTGCTAACAGGGCTTGCTCTTGCAAAGTTCACCCAGACTCCAGCACTGACTTCACAGCATATCCCTAGTACTTTAGTATACCCCTATTTCTGACTTCAAACTCCCAATCCAGATAGCCTAATAGGACTGTGACCTGTTCCTGGTACTCCAGAGTCTGCCCCCAAGGTTCTTTTTCTCTGGTTCGAGTCTTCCAGTAGCCTGGTTGGTGATACCCCTCACCCGAGATTCTTGCCCACCTGATTTCTTCTGCATTGGTATCTGTTTCCTAGGTCTAGCCTTTACAGTAGTACTGTCAAAGATCCATGTTACCTCTCTACTCGGGTCTTTCCAAGTGGGCTTCAGTTATCCCAGTTCACAGATTTACATGGCCACAGATGCCCCATGACCTGCCAGTTATCTGGTATAACTGTGTTACAGGTACTGATCCCAACTGATCGATAGATAGCCATTATCGTATTACCAGTTTCAAGGACTTATCTTGTGTTTGCACTGCCCAATGCCGGTTTGCATTCCTCTGTGTAACTCCAACATTGCACAGATGCCCGTATACACCGATGTAAAATAGGTGGTTTTCCAAATTTTCACTGTCGGTAGGTTTTGAACTCCCAACCTACCACTTGGAGGGTTGACAACTTATCCACTTCACTAAGTCACCACACCTACAAAATATAATATTAAAAATATAAATAGAAGTATAAATTTTGTAAAAAAATGTTGTATAACTGGCCAATTTTTGGAGTGAATTTTCTTAAAAAAAATTTAAAGTTTTAAGTATATTTAGAATAAACTTTGGTATTATATTTCTTATTAAAGAAATAAGTTTTTTAATAAAACTTAATTCTAAAAAAAGAAATACTAAAAAATTAAGTAATTTATTAAACCATTTTTTAATTGATTGTAATAACTCTTTACAAAAACATTCTTTATAATATTGTACTTCACACACCAAATTTAAATTAATTAATTTTAGTGCATCAATTGTTTCATTTTATTTTTCATAAACTCTATTATAGTCTGTTATTGTTAAATCACTAACTTGTTTTAAAACTCATATTCTTTTATCTAAATCAATATTTTCTTTGTTTTCAATAGCTTTACGTATATTTTCAATTTCATCAAACAAAATAATTTTCTTTGTTTCCAAATCATTTTTATTCTAACTTTCTGATGCATTATCTGATTCTTTTTTTTTAGAACTATTTGCATTATTTTTATTATCAGACATGATTAAAATAAAAAAAACTTTAGAAGTTTATTTATAGTAATTTTTAACTTTTAAAGCAAAATAATAACTCATTTCAACATAATCCAAATGATACTTTAAATATAAATTTAATAAACCAAGTATAATATAAATGTATATTATCAGAATAAAAATCTACAAAAAAAAATAAGATTAATCATATTATTTACATAAAAAAATAATTTAATTATAGTTACTTTTATTATCCAGATAATTAAAGTTACAGATATCACATCTCTTCAAACTTATAATACTCACAATACTTCACAACAGATACAACAAACCAGACATTACAAAAGATCACATACAAATTACACATACTCATGTCTATATGGAATAGCAGATCAATTACACCTATGTTCTAATACTTGTCTACCAATTGGATAGGCTATTAGAAAAATTAATATATGGTCGACATTTTGGATTAATCATAGCACATCTTATAATTATATTTTAACATTACAAATCTAGGTGGGTCTTGACCACCATAGTCAGTTTAGGTCACAGATAATGTTGTCTGAGCTTTAATTCTTGCATTTAGTTTTTATTTTGTATTTTACAATCTTAGTATATTCTTAATATATAGTATATTAATATATACAACCAAAATTACTAATAAAGATATGAGCAAGGCCTCACCTTAACACCAAAAAAAAAAATTAAAGTTATAGATGTCTATTAAATGAAAAGTTAAATAAAGTTCATTTAAACAAATATTATTTGAATATGTATAAAATTTAAACTTACAAAACTTGTAGTATAAATTATAACTTGATAATAATATTCATTAAAAAAAAGAATCCAATAATATATATTGATACATTGCATAATCATACAGTAAAATTGTAAAATAGCATAAATAAATATTGGAGTAAGCATTTTATTTAAATTTATAAAATATGTAAATACAGTATATTTATAAACTTTTTGGTATTACCAAAAACCTAAAAAATCATACATTTTATATTTTTATCAAATAAAAAATTTACTATAATAAAAATACATATTATAACAATTATATCGACAATACAATTACTAAAATAACTAATAAATTTTTTTTCATTTTTTTGCATATTGTCTAATTCTATATTTATTTTTTTTTCAATATTAATCTGTCTTTCTAGGGATTTAAAATTTCCTCATTAGCAATAAGTTTTCATAAACTTTTTTCTGCATTAGCAGCATCAATTGGAACAGGTACCTGAACATTGCTAAATTTTTGTAATATTTCATCTGTTTTGAAATTAATAAGATTTTTAACTTCTTCATTATCAATTTTATTAATTGCATCTTTAATCACTTGTAAATTAGTATCAAGTTTTAAATTTTTTAATGCATCTTGAACAGCTTTTTCTACAGTTGGGGTGATATCACCTAATTGCTTTAATAATTCATTATAATTATCTTGCCATGTTTCAATTTCTCTGTTTTTATTTCTAAGAATTTTTTCAATTTTTGTAGTCAATACAAGAATACTTTGTTTTTGTTGTAACGTATAAGTTTGAACAACAGGATAAGGTTGAATTGTTGTTAGAGGTTGAGTTTTTGGTATTTGTAGATTTGAAGATTCAGTAAAAGTTGATATTTTTAATAAAAAATAATATACAAACATTTCTTTTTATATTTAAATTCATATTAAACTTTATTTTATATTAACAATATAAATAAATTATATAAATTTAATATTATTATATTTAAAAACATTAATGATTTCTTCAATAATTTTAATTTTTCTCATTTGTTTAATTGTCTATTCATATGCTCAAGAATTTTAATAAAAATAATTATTAAATTTTTAACAAAATGGTTTTTTACTTACTTTATAATTTATTGTTTGGATGGACAAAAACAAATCTTTATTATACTAAACTTTATAATAATACTTATTATTATTATAATACCTTTGGATATCATAATAAAAATGCAAATTCTTATTGCTAATTTGAATAATTTAAAAACACAACTTTCAACTATTCAATCACAAATAACAAATCTTAGAAATTTATATAATCAAATAAATTCTACATATAAAAATATAAAAAACTTTTAACAGAAAAAGAAGTTAATCTAAATGATAAAATTAAAAAAACATAATGATACTAAAAAGAAATTTAATGAATTTTATAATAAATTCATCAATAAATCTAACTTAAATAAAAAACTTCAAAAAAACAATTAAAAAAAGAGCATTAACAATATCTTGATGAACTTAAAGCTTATAAAATAACAAAGAAAAAATTAGAAAAAGAAAAAAAAGAACATAAAGAAACAAAAAATAAATTAGAAAATGTTATTAAAGAAACAAAACAAACATATCAAAAAGAAATTGAAAAAATAAACAAAAAACATATTGATGATAATAAAACAAAAAATACTAAAATTGAAAAATATAAAAAAAAATATGAAGATGCTTTAGAAAAGTTAGAAAAAGAAAAAAAAATCATAATATAACCAAAAAAAATTAAAATTTGAAAAACTTCATCATAAAAAAACAAGAAATCTTTACAAGACTGAAAAAGAAAAATTAAAAAATAAAAAAGATATATGAAAAAACTAAAAAAATCACTCAGAAAGATAAAAAAAATCAATTGAAACAAATAAATAAACTTATTGAAAAAAACAAAACTCTTGAAAACCAACTTAAAGATAAAGAAAAAAAAGAAAAAAGAATTAGAAAAAATTGTTAAAACCCTTAAAGATAAGTATAGCAAAAAAATTGGTAACTTAAATAATTTATTAAAGAAAAAAAATGATGAAATAAAAAAACTAAAAAATGATCAAAAAAATTTAAATATAAAATATAACCAAGTACATAAAAATACTAACAAAGTAAAAAAAGAATTAGAAGATTTACAAGATTTAATTAAAGAAAGTAAATCTTTAAAAACTAATCATGATAAACTTTTAACTAACTATAATTCTTTAAAAAAAGAAAAGAAAAAAATCGATAAAGAAAATGAACTTTTAAAAACTCAAAAATCCGATAATGAAAAAAAATTAAATGATATTAACATTAATATTACTGAACTTGTTAATCTTGTTAAATCAATGCCACCAAATCTTTTATGTGAAATTAGCATTCATATAGATAAATTAAAACCAGAAGTTATTAATGCTACAGATGCAGCTTTTACTTTAGAAAAATTAGTAGAAACATATAGTTAAATTTATTTTATTTTATTTTTTTTTTATTTTTTTTTTTTTAAGATAACCTCTTTAGTCTTTTGACTTTTATTAATTACTTATTGGTATTGTAGTTCAATAAACCACTACAGGAGAGCATACAATTAGTTACATGTGTAACTTTTCTATATTACATATTTAAGAAGTCTGCCTGAAGGTTCCTCACCAATTGCTATACCTAACACCCCTGCTTGGATGTTTTACTTTAAACCCTCTAAACCTGTAACCTGTATTAACATACTGGTCATCTCAGATGTACCAGATCATTGTCCTCAACCTTAGGACTAATTTATCCTTGAGGTAAACCCCCAAGCTTTCTGTACCTATTTTTACAGCTAACTTAGGTATCATTATGTCAGAACCAACACTTGTAGTCAGGGCTAACCATTAAACTGCTATGTCCTTATAGAGTTCACTTAGACCCCAGCATCTACTTCACAGTATAACCTTAGTATTTTAGTATATCCCTGCCTTTTTTCTTGCCCTTTTACCAAACTTCCAATTCAGATAGCACATGTAGGACTATGACCAGTCCATCAGTATATCAGGTCGGTCTGATATTCTTTTACTCTGGTTTGTTCTGGTGGCCTGGTTGGTGTACCTCTGAGACTTTCAATCTGGAGGTTCTTGCTCATCTGGCTAATAGGACTGGGTACTCGACCTGGGTATCAGTATCGCTGGGCTAGCCTTTACAGTAGGGCCATTAAGGATCCAACTACTCTCTACTTGGGTCTTTCCAAATGGACTTCTTGTTACCTAATTTCAATAGATTTACATGGCCACAAGAACTTATCTAGTATTTGCACCACCTGATTTGTCAGTTTGCATTTCTCTGTATAACTCCAACATTGCACAGATGCCCCATGACCTGCCAGTCATGCTGGTGTGACCACCATTACAGGTAT